AGAAAGAGATCAGCTGGACCTGCCTTTCATGAACCCATGCTGGCTGGTCCTGATCCCCTGATTGTCCTCCACATGCCTTGTGATCTCGCTCAGGATGATCTGTGAGGTTTGTATAATATTGAAAACAGAATGCTGGCTGGCTTATTACAGCAGTTGCATCGAATGACTTCTGTGACCAATACCAGAGGAAAGGAAATCTGATGCAGAGCTTTCTGAAGTAGGTAACGTTTGGAACAGTAGAATAGTTTCACCACAGAAAATAAATACAAATAATCCAATTGGTTAAACTAAATTGTACTTATGGAAAGTCTGTAAAATTAGTAGCTTGTCTCAGCTGAATGCTTCACCGAGAAGAATACGTAAAGCAGAAGGAAAATGGGCTAGACTTCTTAGCATCTGAGTAGTAGTATCATCATTTTGTGCATGTCTTGACCCTCCCTTCATTTTTGTCAGACCGCTGACAAAAAAACAGTAGCCCCCAATGACTGAGTTCTGCTCTTTGGTGTTACTGAGTTGAGCCATTCTGTATTGCTAAAAGTGTCGGGAGATGTAAGGAGCGTGACTGCGTTCCAGCTTCCTCAGAGATGAGCTGGTTTGTCAACTTCTGTCCTGCTACGTCTGCTTCTGTATCTAAGAACACAGCTTTGCCATGTGCCTCTGCGGGTGCATTTGCTTCTCCCCACAGGCTGCTGCTGTGTACTCCCCTGCTCCCACGCTGTCATCTCCATGCTTTAAACAGTATGGCATTCTACAGTCAACATCCATTGGAGGGCAGGGCGCACGATGAATATCGGTCACTGGTAATGCTTGTGTCTCCTGAGCCTAAATGCTGCCTTCCTGGTGTTGGCCAGATAGGTCTGTTGCTGCTCTTCTCAAGAGTTACTGAAGTAAGTGATGGCTGTTTGGATATCAGCAGCACTTCTGTGAATTTGCTAAAGACTTTCTGACATGTCTTCTAATATTTGTTATTCCTCTTCTGTTCCTCAAGAGACCTCCCCAGGCTTTAGGATGGTTAAATGTGCCAATTTTCTAACATGGCAGTTGGGAAACCGCCAGCTCTCATGTCTCTAGTACGGTGGTACAACTTGTTGGCTTCTGTTCTAGCCCTAGCATGCAAAGTGCTGTGCTCAGAAAATCATGCAGCGTACTCTCCCTTGGTACTTGGAAAGCTCAGGTCTCAGCCCACGGCTCCTTCCGCTCCATCTCCTTTTTTTTTTTCTGGCTCTTTTTCTTCAACTTTAACGTGTGTTGCTTCTAGTGTTGTGTTGTATAACTCTTGCTGCTTGGATATGTACATAGTCTACTCTGCCCCGTTTTGCAATCTTTCATCTTCTAATTCTCTCTCTCTTCCTTTTCTGCAACCCTGGAGCTGCATTTCTTTTTTCCTGTGACTACAAGTCCCCCTCTTCTCTCCTCAGTCCCATCTCCACGTCGCCTGGGTGGCACCCTGCTAAGCATCTCCATCTGTGTCTTTATCGGCTCTTGTCTTGATTGAAGCTGCTTCCAGCTGTGCATCTCCTACTGCTGACGGGGTACCAGCAGAAGATAATACTGCCAAGGCCTCTACCCCAAATCTTCAAGCACTGACCTGTAGGATGGAAAAAGACTTACAGACTTAGATCATCGGAGGGCTTCTTCCATGCCTTTCCTTAGGAGAATATTCTGTGCCTAGTAGATCTGACTGTGAAGCATTCTTTCCTAAATTAGACCTCTCCCTAATCTGCTATTATTGCCAGTTATATGTATGACATGATATTCTCCAAGAAGAATCAGTTAAACCCACTCTTTTTAACAGCAGGGGAAAATCTCTTTATTACATGATGAGAAAGCCAAAAAAGCTGTCCTCTTTCATTATGCTTGACAGAAATGCTTATGTTCAGGAGTTTTTCCTCCTGAATGATCCCTAAAGCCCAGGAAAATCTGAGATCAATTTGTGGTTCCCATGAAACCCTAATTAGTAATGACATCATGTTACAACCCAGAATGCTATTCAGCACTTCATGCTGAGCGAAGGGATTTTGTCCGTGTGTCTGTCTGTCTGGGGTGGTGGGGTGGTTTGGGGGACTCATCTCCAGGGGTTTGGAAATAAACCCCACAAAACAAAGCTTTGGGGGTTTCCTGCAATGGACTGTGATGAGAATCTGTAGAATTTAGACATTAAATTTGTTCAGAGCTTTGAAGCAATCGCTTATGACTCGATTTGTTTCAGAAGTCTGCACAGCAGAAAAGGAAAGGTATAGTTGCTTTCTGTGGCCTTTGGAGGGAGAGGAGTCTTGGGAAAGAGAATAGCAGCTGGGTTGGGGTGGGAAAGCTGCGTCTCTGGTCACAAACAGGTATCTGTAAAACCTCAGAAGACAGAGATAGGGAAGAAGCCCTGCCCCTGCAAAGCAACATACTTTCCCCCTCCCCTCCATTTCTCTTACTGTAAGTTAAATGTAGATAAGTGCTGAATGGAGGGGAAAAAACCTGACCAAACAAATTGCTACTTGGGTCCAAGCAGCAGAGAGAATTCCCTCATTTTATTCATGTAAGAGGAAGGGTTGTAGACTGAATCTGGAAATCCATACCCTATTTTGGTTGAAGTCAGCGATGATTTTGCTTGGAGAGATGCACTAGAGTGGCCTGCAATATAGGTATAAGCAGGTATAATATGTATTTCCAGTGGTGGTGGGTTTTTGTTTCGTTTTTAGCAACCAGAGCCTCGTGTTTCTGAGCACAAAGGGCACCTTTGCGTAGCTGCGCTGCCAATGGTAGGGCATGAATCTAGTGGTGGGGATATTTCCAAAGTTTTGGCAGAACTTCAGGAGATATAAGGATGTTTCACAGAAACAGTTAGTTTTCATCATAACTCAAGATTGTATGGCTTTCAGAAATGTGATTAGAATGGAAATAGCAGAGGAGCTGAAAACTTGGTATGACTCCTTAGGAGCGGAGTCCTCTGTTACTTCAGAGAGTGTTAGCTGGGGCAGCACTGTTATCTGAGTTCAGATGCGCGGTTACTATGGGTACGTGTTGGCCAAATGCCTTCTAGTTATCGCATTACCTAATTTAGCTCTTAAATAATGTTTTTTTTCTTCTGCTTGTGCAATAAATAACACGACTGCTTAGTGAGTCGCATATGGTGGCATTTTGTATTTGCATCCTGTGATAAGAAATTCTAAGTATTTAACCAAGTGTATATCACCTCCTGTGCAGATCGACATCTACCATTAATGCCAAACATTTGTAACATTGAATAAGCCAACTGATAAATTCAGGTTTCTAACTTTAAATTTTGCCCTTCCACCCATGTTTGTTCAGTCTCTTCCTTCCTGTTATTCTTGTCTATGAGGTGTTCGTTTAAGTCCAAAATTCTTGCTTCGTTGACAGCACAAAACTTTTAACAGCAGAGAGTTTTGTTTCTGTTAAAGACTATACCTGAAGACTTTAAACTAAATGGTTGGGCTTCAGTTTTGACCTCTAAATGTCAATGCAGATAAACAGTAATATTCTATTTATTTTTAAGTCTTAGCTTTGAGACTTAATCAGCCTGAAAACAAGCTCTTCCTATTTATTTATGCAGAGTAGGAAAGAAGGAATATTTTTGAAATAAAAGTACAGGAAAGCAAATGGATTTACAACACATCCTCTCACTCCATGTGTTAACAGATTTGTTCTAGTAGCTTCTAAATGAACCTTGCCAATGCTGAGATAACAGATCAGACAAGTAAGTCAAAGCAAAATAAACTTGAAATCCCTCGGGTGAATCCAGAGTTCAGGCACACAAAATGCCAATGCAATCATTTCAAATGGAGGAAATTTTTAATTCTCCCCTATCCAGATAAGAGTGTAGGCTAAGTGCTGTATTAGAAGAAGAGGATGGGTTTAATTTTATGTATTATTTAAGTCAAGTGGTGAAAACCTGGTAATTTAAATCTAAAGGGCCTTTTTGAAGCGGTGGACTAAATTGGAAATCATCAAAGTGAGATGCTGAAACTGAGGACGGCTGGTTCAGCTTTGTGAGGACAGTTGTACCCAAAGCGAGGGTTTTGCGAGATGCGATCAACAACACGTCTGGAGCCTGGTGAGGATTTGGGTCCTCCCTCTGCAGAGCAGATGTCCTCGACTCCCCTCCTCCACCTCCAGAGGCAGAGATGGGCACTCTGGGGCTGGAGCTGACGCTTGGCTGGGTCATGACATGAGGTGCCTTTACAGAACCACGGGCTGTGAGTGATGGGGGAAGGAAAGGGACCGTTAGCAGTGTGCTGCAGAAGGGTGTGAGCTGTTTTCCAGCTGTATGCAGACATGCCTATGCTATCCCAGTGACACTTGTCCTGTGGTCCATTTCCCTTAGCTGACCTCCCTCCTTGAGAAAGCGTTCTACACTTATAGTCCCTGTAGAAGCTGACTCCTGGCATCCCCTTCAACACCTTCCTGAAAACATTTCCACCCATGCCTGGAATGCAACTGTCCTGGGAAAGATATCTCGGGGTGTGATGCATGTAAAGTAAGCAAAACTATCTCCCAAACTTCTTGTACGGAAAGATCAAAGCCAGCTCTCTGACTTTTTTGGGCACGCAGCATCAGCACAGTTATCACACCTCCAGTTGAAAACCATGCAAGCTGCTGGAGATTGCCATGGCCAAAAAGATGACTAGTAATACAGACCACAGCTGGGAGGCTGATACAATGTCTGTTGTAATTGCAGGGGAATGAGAAGTGCTATGGCATAATTAATAATTGCGGTGGACCATGATACGAAGTCTTATTTGAAAGTTGCAAATTGAAAGCTCCTAGTCAGGCGGTCTAGAAGCTGTTTTGTATCTAACTCGGCCAGTGTGACTCTTTTCCAGGTACTTACCAACCTAGTACTGAATCAGGGCAAAACAAATGATTTGCCTTTTAGAAAATCATGAAAACCAGCTTTAAGATCACCCTTCCTACATTATTTTTTTTTCTTCTTCTTCTTGAAAGCAGCTGTGCTGTTTGAAGGGTCAGTGCTTTCTCTGAAAACCTGCCAGATGGATTTCCAGGGCCAGCTTGCCTTCTCACTGGGGGTATTGCTGTGCTGTGCTCTTCAGACATCTGCCGTTCAACATCCTGCATCTCACAACTGCACCAATGATGGTCAAAGAATATCCTTCAGCCACTCCTACAAGATTGACTTGCCCATGTCCTCCCAGATTACAGTGGAAGCAGATCCATTACAGCATGAAGATAGCAGCGGGGTACAGCTAGATCCTGGAGAGGCTGAGGAAAACGAAGAGCAGAATATAATCTTTAGGCACAACATCCATGTGCACACACCCAAAGGGGACTGTGAAACTTTGACCCACGTTAAGGGTCTGTTTGAAAGGATGGAGAAGCTTGAGAAAGAACTGGCAGAGCTGAGAGAGGTTTGCAGCCCTCAGAAGTGCTGTGGGGGAAGCCAAGGTAAGTAACAATTGCAGTATCTGTTCTTACGTCCCAGATACAGCCTGTTTACTGCAGAGACTTGGGGACTGGAATCCATTTGTCAAAGTTATCGGGGGTTCTCCGTGGGTGAAATACTCGAGTCCTACAGATGGGATGGTGCTCTGGTTTCTGTGATGTGAAAGGACATCTAAAGGTCCCCAAATGTGGTAGGACATACAATTTTTGCAACCAGGAGAGGGGAAATCTCCCCAGGCATCTCCCAGAAATGGAAGGGAACAAGTTCCTGAGTTTCACGTAGGTGGGAGGATTCAATGGAGGAATTTCTGGAGTACAAGGAGGGTAGAAGATGGAGGCAGCACTTCTTGATGCTGTCTTTTCCTTTCTCATTTTTGCCTCCAGAATTTTGCAGTTACCTCCTTGGTAACTGACTAAAAGAAGAGCTGAGTTGATGATGATGATGTTTTGTGGTGGCCACTGGCTGTGCCCATGATCGGAGTTTTATACCGCCTGGCCTCTAGGATATTGTTTGGGGAATGGAGACAGGCAGAAGTGCTAAGTCTTTGCCTACATGAAAAATGCAGGTGTATAGCAGATGAGAATAATGCGCTCTCCATCTTTATAACTGTGTTGAGAAATGGTGAGCTTAAATTACAGCCGGGAAGATTCAGGTTAGAGACTGTGCAAAGCTTTCTAATTGACTCTCTAGGGTGGGCATGGAATCTGCATTCCTGTTCCTGCCAGCTATAAACAAATGTGTTGGGAAAGGCAAGGGCAGAGCTGGTCCCTCCTTGGACCTGGGGCAGATGGACAAGGCGGTGTCTTCAGGTCTTTTTCAGCCCATATTTTCCAGTGATATTTATGCTTTCCCTTTAATGACTTTGAAACACCTTTGCACTACCTGCCCATTGCTACGCTCCTAACTTTTTTTTTTCTTCTTCTTTATTTTCTCTCATCGGTGTGTCACGCTTGCTGTTGCGCATCCTGATGCTGCTCTGGCCAGGTGTGTTACGTTGCAGCGGCCACGGGACTTTTCTCTCCGAGACCTGCAGCTGTAAGTGTGCCGAGGGCTGGGAGGGCAGCGACTGCTCCCACCCCACCTGCCCCAGCCATTGCAGCGGCCGTGGGCGCTGCGATGGTGGGAAGTGTATCTGTGATGAACCTTACTTTGGTGAGGACTGCAGCCATCAGCTCTGTCCTGAGAACTGCAGCGACCACGGAATCTGTGACACAGCCCAAGGGGTCTGCCAGTGCTACGAGGAATTCATTGGAGAGGACTGCAGTGAGAAACGGTGTCCCGGGGACTGCAGTGGCAATGGGTTCTGTGACACGGGAGAGTGCTACTGCCACGATGGCTTCGTTGGCCTTGACTGCTCCCAGGGTAAGTTATTTCTCTCTTCTTTCTTTCAATCTGAGTTTCCCTCCCTACCTCCAGTAAACATTTGGTTAATCCTGTAGGTAAGCCAAGCTTGGGGTCACCATGTTCCTCTCGGAGTTCCTGTTGGGCTAGTGGTTGCTGACTGGGTCCTTGTCTTCAAGAATTGCCTGGGAAACATTTCTGAATTGAGGAAAGGGGGAAATGCAGTTAAGGTAGTGTTAGCACAAGCCTGTGTGTAGCAGCTGGAGGAGAGAGCAAAACTGGGTGTGGAGCCTGTAATTAGAGAGAGGGAGACGGAGTCTGTTTCTTGGCATACAAATGAGACAATAGAAGGTAAAATAATCTTTGCTGCAGCGTGCACTGCTTGCTGATAAGGCAGTTGATTTGATAAAACCTGTGAGACAAAGGATGCATAAATCCTTTAAAGAACCTCCCTTTGACATGAGGTCTTTGGGAAATTCTCTCTTATCCTGCTTTGTTACAAGGCAGTAGGATTTGCCTGAGAAGACCTGACTGAGCTGACCTTGAGGCGTGTCCAGTGGTTTCTGCTTAATTCTGAAAACGCTATAATCTCCCTATAACCACAGGTTGATACTCCAGGCTTCAGCACTCAGCCTTTTACCGTGGAAGCCGCCCTTCCTTCTCAGCATGTCACTGCTTGGTCTAATCCTTCACAGCTCCTCGTGAAGGAGAAGTATGTAACAGCCACACGCTGAGCACCAGGTTATTGCTCAGTAAGGGTTTGCAGTGACCTTGCTCACAGGTCTTTTCTGCTCTGGATCATCCCTTACCTCTCAGCCTTTGATCGTTCTGCTTCGAGACTCACCTTTTATTTAAAAGATTATTAGCTCAAATTCTCCATCCAAACAAGAGCTCTGCATCAAAACTTCACTCCTCCCACCCCTTCCACACCATCCAGAGATGTTTCTCCGTGGTTTCAGCACCCTTCTCCCCTGTCAGTAGACTGGGATTTGCTCCTCAGGAGGCAGCACCTTTACAGAGGTGGCAAGCAGAGGGGTCTCTCCCAGAGCAGAAACAATTGTCCCAGAGAATTGTTGCCCACCCAGCCTCTCCCAAAGGGCTGGCAGGGTCCAGCCTTAGATCCTCTTCCTTACACAATGCCTGCAGCTCTTTTACAAGCTGTGAAAGTGGCCTCTGTTCTCTGAGTGAGCAAGCACTACAGTTAATGCATATAGCACAATCCATTTTGCTACTGTTTCCGAGCACGATGCCTCCACTCCTTTTAAAAACTTTTAAGTCCAAAGGCAAATGGTCCCCATCGCAGCATTTGTAGCCAAGCGCTCCTCTCCCATAGGTGTCAAATTGCCTTTTCTGTTCCAATTTGGGTTAGATTTCTGCATCCTGGGAGATTTACACTGAGCACTGTTTTTATTTATCATTATTATTATTATGGTGATGTTCTTTTTTTGTGTGTCTCAGATCATGAATGACATATTTTGTTGTGTATTGCCAAGGTAACTGGAATGTCTGAACATCTAGAAGTTACTGTCAAGCATGTGACAGTATAATTAATGTCTTGCCATTTCTTCTGAAGGACAAATAGAGGACAAGGACACATTGAACAGCAGGTATTGGCCTGTGCTCTTTCTGGACTTGGTTTACTGGCACTCCAGAATAGCACTGTGGGATATCTGAAGATGAATAAACCAGTAGTTTAAAACAGGGATATTATCAAAAAAAACCAGGTTTTTTGGTATCTCAGCACAATATTAGTTTAATCAGGAAGTCTTTGTGTTGATGCTGTAATCGGGAAATTGGAGAAGAAAATAAAGAGGGACTCTTGGCTGTTCCCAGGGGAGCCAGGGTTCCCCACAAGCCCCCGTGTGAGCTCTCGGCCCAGCGCTGGATCTGTAAATGTCCTCCTGGTTTCCTACTTGCTTCAGCCTTTGGGGCCTCAGCCTGCTGCCCGAGGAGAAGCTGCCTGACGGGGAGAGATGGGTGAGAGGAGGCAGAACACAAGATGGACCCTGGCACGGCCCACGGCCACCCGGCCTCCTGATTCCCCTCAGCAATGAGCGCCGTGCCTGTGGGGAACCCTTTGGCTTCGGGCTGGAGGTCCTCTGCTGTTGGAGAGCAAGAGGAGGAGGTTTGCGAGGGCGACAAAGCTCAGGCAGTGCCTCCTTCCCCTTCACACCCCCGGCCCTGACCAGGCGCGGTTTTGTCGAGTCCTGAAGTGCTTGGGTTCGTCACCTCGGCTGGAGAAGACGGCTCTGGTGCACCTCAGGGCAGAGCGAAAAACCACCTTGCAAAAACGGGTTCTCCTGGGCTAGAGAGTCACCGCCTTTGCAAGAAACCCTCGTCAAAACGTCCCGCTTGGAAACACAAACTGTCCTAGGCATTGTCCTAAACAGGTGATACTGGTTTCTTATGCCACAGCTCTCCTCTTCAGAGAGGCTGATACAATCCTCTTCCAAACTATGCTTACACAAGGGATAAATCACACTATATGTATTTAGGTTCTTTATTATTTTACTGCAAAGCTGGATTATTCAAATCCAGCTTCTATATCACAAGAAGAGGCAGGATGAATCTTCTCACATTTTGTACAAAGTTTTCGTCAAAAGCAATGGTATGCATATATTGAGGGCGGAATTTGGTGACAGCTATGAATTACACAAGGGAATTAATGCTGCCTTTCAAGAGAGAAGAGTCTAATGATGTTGTGTGACCTGATGTTGCTGATACATGCCTTTTTACAGGCACTTGCTATCTATTTTTTGCTGTTGGTTAGTGCCTTGCTAATGAAATACAGCTGGTAGATGGTTTGATCTGTTTATGATGTGCTTACTTGTAATTAAAATCAGGTAAGCTTTCTGACAGATGTTGTACATTGACTGCTTTCAAGGGCTGCTTCATGTGAGTATGGGTTTAGAAGCTGGAAAGAGAGTGTCCAGGAAATTACTGTATTTGTTACTGACAGCAATATTCATTTGCATTTAATGATATACTGTTGGGCAGAAAGAAATTGACAAATCCAAAATGACCACAGACTGGGAATTCCGGTTTTGCATTCTCTTTTTATTCAAAATAGGTTTGAAAAAATTTCTTTCTTGGCCATGTGAGCCCTGGACCAGATGCTAAGACAGCATCCTCACTGCAGTGGTTTTCTTTGTTTCTCTTGTAGTGCTCGCTCCTCAGAACCTGCAGCTGCTGAACTCCACAGAGAACTCTCTGGCTGTCAGCTGGGATCAAATGATTGATGTGGATAATTACCTCATTAGCTATTATCCAGTAGGGTATGAGACACTGGTGAAACAAGTCCATGTGCCCAAAGAGCAGCTCAGCTATGAGATTGTGGGTCTCCGCCCTGGCACCACGTACAATGTCACACTTCACCATGTGAAGAAGGGGACTGCCAGTGAGCCCAAGTATCTAGAAGCAAGTACAGGTAGGAGCAGGCAGTCTTTTTCTTCAGAGTTAGAAGTTATAGATTCAAACAAGTGGAGAGAATTGTTCGGCTTTGCAGGTTTGTAACATCCTGTCTGAGCAGTAGAGAGCACTTTTCCTCCCAGTCTCGGCTGCATTTTTTTGCCATGTTCTCTTCTAGAGAATCTGTGGCCAGATAATGTGTCGTTAGGGCTGAATGTATTGCAAATTTCCTGTCTCTCCCTTTATCTTGTCCAAATCCTACTTGCATTGACACCCCTGAATTCCAGGGAATCCATAACATTGCCTGCTGCAGGAAGCAGGAATACATGCAAGAGAAGGCCAGCATGTTGTCAAGAATAATGCACTGTTCGACTGGATGCAGAAGGGACATTAAAGTAGGCAAGATGTCATTCCTAGGTATTAATTTGCCAAACATGCCTGCAGCAGTGAGTTTTCCTCATGGTCTCCTCCCAGAACTGAATGAGCCTGATGCTACTGAGGTTAGGAGGCTGGATATGGAAAGACTGTATATTTGATGCATTCTCTCTCTCAAACTGAAGTGGCATTTTCTTAGCAGCTGATAGTATGCTGTCTGCCTGCACTTGGCAAAAACAGTGAAAAGTTTGGTTATTTTGACATTTTTCTTACTTCTAGCATAACAGGTGGGAGCTGAGAGCCAGAAAACTCTTGTTTTGGAGTGTTACCATGGATAAAACTAAGCCTCTTGAAATAATGATCGTGCTGTACTTCCTTAGCTCTTCAGTTAGGCTCAGGAAAACGTCTCAGGTCTTATCAGGTCTTAGAGCTGGCGACTAGGGAAGGATGGGGGCTGTTTAGCACCTTCCTATCTTATATTCACCTTTTGGTGCTGATCCTCCTTCCTCACGGCCCTCTGCTGTCCTTCTCAGTCCTGTCTGCGCTCAATGCCATCTGGGTGACAGAGGAGACGGAGCACTCCCTGGAAGTGGAGTGGGAGAACTCACCAACAGATGTGGATTATTACAAGCTGAAGTTCAGATCCCTGCTGGAGATGGATGAGAAGCAGGTCATGGTGCCCAAAAGCAATGACCCTAAGAGCAGACACATCATGACTGGTGAGTACTTGTGGGTATTGCGAACTGGGCAGGGGCAGGAGTGGCAGAATTGATTGACAGTCAGACCATAGTCCTGAGACAATTCTTCTCACCCTGGCCTACGGCATGCACGAGGTGAAGGCAAACTGGCCATCCGCACACGAGAGATCTATTGGGGCTCCCCTATCCCATAATGATGGGTGTCTCCACAGGGAGAAAGCTTCTGTGCCCTGTGGATAGCAAGTGTCAAGGCACATTCGTTCAGCTTTAATTCTGTCCTTGTTAGGAATAAAGTATATTCTTCTGTTTCGGAGCTGGTAACACTGATGTTATGGAAATCCCCACTTATTATAGTCAGCGTATGCCCTAAGGGCAAGCCTGGACCAACCGTGCTATTAAGGCATTCTCAAGACAAAAGGAAGTTAGATAGAAAGTTCCTCTCTGCTACAAGCCTAGAACTGGATAGACTAAGCAAAATAGCTTTCTTTAAGAAAAATTGCTGTCTTCGCTAATTGTTGGTAATGCTCCCTTTTGCTTTTTGTAGGCCTGAAACCTGGTACAGAGTACGAGGTCACTGTCATACCCGTGAAAGACAATACAGAGGGAAAACCATCCTCAGTGAGTGGTAGGACTGGTATGTGGAAAGTTTCTTTTATGATAGTGATGTTACTAAAGGCTTGGGGGACAGATCTGTCAAGATAGCAGCACAAAAGGTGAACAGTTGGCTGCTTCTTTATACATGGCCTGCAACCAGGTCTGCTTATACCTCGTTTAAGCTTGTCTACGCTGTATATTAAACACTAAACCTAGCCCTAGCTCAGTCTTTTGCCTTGGTTTTTAAACCTACAGTAACTTCACCCTTGACTAACAGCTCCAGCCAGACACAGGATGAGCATAGTAAGCTGGCCTCTGTATGTAATAACAACCCTCAAACGAGCTCAGAGCTAGGTCCAGCAGTAACTCAAAGTTTGGTGCTTCATGACTTCCCTAACTAGATCACTGACAGGATGACCTGGCTTAAACCTAGCACACCTGATTTGTGGTCTGGATACGGCCTTTCCTTGTGGATCCTCTGTGCAGCTGCCGCTGACTGCCTCGCAGCTTTTAGCTGCTGATGATTTGCCTGGTCTCTGAGCCCAGGAGCAGTAAGGAAGAAGGAACAGAACAGCTGGACTGAGCGGCAGATTAGCACACCATTGCCAGGCCTTCATTTCCACTGAGGACTGTGGTCCCAGCTCGCTGTCTGGCCTGATAGACCTGCCCCCAGGGAGGTGAAGTTGTCCAGTGGGCTGCACAGCAGCACAGCCTTAGCATTTCTGTGGTAGCTCAAGTCTTCGCCTCTTACATGTGAAATGACTGAAGAGGCTGTAGCTGGCACCTAGAGGTTGAGGCTTTAGACTGCTGCTTCTTGTAACAGCGCCAGCATCAGACGTAGTCATCTCCAGCATGGGGAGAGCACAGAAGCATCTTTCTGCTGGCTTCTGCTCCAGCTGTGTGCTCAGCACAGCTCAGAAGGCCTGGCAGGTTCTACTCTTCCGTGACTGTTGGTTTTCTTGTAACTGGCAGCCTAGCCATTCCAGACCTGAATGTTAAAGCAGATCTGGAAACCCTGTCGGTTCATCATTGCTTCAAGGTCTTAAAAAAAAAACCTGCAGAATATTTTTGAGCTATTACATTGCAAAAGTGAGCTTGAAACCCTAAAATTCAGCTCTTAAAAAAGGGTAGGCATGCATCATCCAAAGACTGAAGAATCCCGAATCAGGCCTGACATTCCTAAGGCTGTCTTGTAAATGATTCCATTAAAAGAAAATTGATTTTAAAATAACAAAACCTACAACCTCCACACTGCCATTTTAAGGCTGCTCTTGTTCCCTGTGTAGATTCTGATTATTTGGAACACCCTCGGCTTGTGTTTTTAAGCTGTTCTTCACAGGCATGGGGGCTGCAAGACTTCTTAAAAAGGGCAAGAAAAAAAAAAATCTCCAATGAGTAATGCTGCTCATATTGTTAGGTTACCTCTGGAACTTAGGAGCTGCGACTAAGACAAATACCAACTATTGCAGGAGCTACTGCTAAACTCTGATTCATCGCCTAAAATAGCAGAAGCCTTGGGGGAGTCTGAGAGACAGATCTGCAGGGTGGGCAGAAAGGGAAGAGCAACAAGTGGCTGACACTGGAGGCAGAGAAAGGATGGGGCCTATACTTGGTGCTGTGAGGAGGGCAAGTGAGAAGGTAATGCTCAAGTGGGTAACCCATGGAAGGTGAGGCGGGTAGCCTGCAAGATCTTCCTGCAGGAAAAAAAAAAAGGAAAGTTTCATCTAAATGGCAGAACAGTCCTGCTTTCTCCCTGCTCTGACCATGCTGGTTTCTCATGGATGCCTTTCTTTCTTGAATGGCTTTAGGGGGGAACTTAAGCAACTCTGTGTTTTAGCTGGCCAAAGCAGCAAGGAAAAAATGAAGGAAATGTGCACATGTCGTGACAGGTATTGTAGTGGTTTAATTCAGCTGGAGTTTCCTAATCCTGCACTTTGAAATGTTCTGTCAGGAATTGATGGCCCAACCAATGTGGCAACTGACCGAGTGACAGAAGATACAGCCACTGTCTCATGGAATAAAGTTGAGGCTCCCATAGACAGGTACATGGTGAGATACAGCTCAGCTGATGGAGACACCAAGGAAATAGAGGTGGGGAGTGACAATGACATCATCACCTTACTGGATCTGAAGCCAGGCATGGAATATGTCATCCACATCTGGGCAGAGAAGGGACCCCAGCAGAGCAAGGAGGCAAGCACCAGAGCTGTAACAGGTATGTTGTAGTAGCAGCAGTGGAGGGAGACAAGTTTGAATTTTAAACTCCTTCAACAATTTTACTTGTTTTACTAAAACTTCTCCTGCTTTGCACAGGTTTTTAGTGAGGCAAAAAATTCATCTCATTCTTACTAGTGTGGCTGAACAGGTCTCCAGCTCAGCTTGAAGACTCTGTTTTGAGGCCCTATGGCAAGGCACCAGTTACTATCGGTGCAGAGAACAGTGAAACACAGCCAAAACGAAAGCCTCATAACTGGAATGTGTAATTCGTGCCTTGCCTTTAAAATGCCATAAACCATCCCCAAGCTTTTCTTTGGGTGACTGTTGTGGCCTTTCTCCAACAGGACAAGGGGCTCATACATGTTTTTGCACAGATAGTCATGACAGACTGACTAAGTATTTAGTATTTGCTAAAAAGGAAAAACAAACTTATTTGGATCATGGTATAAATTAAGAATGATGTTGGGAATCAAATCTCCTGAACAAGACATTTGGTCGCTGTCCCCTGGTGACAGGGTCTCCACTGGAAGGGTGCTTGCAGCAGCATCTGCAACTGGATTGGGAAACTCCTTGAACCGCTGTTTTGCTCAGTTCTTATAATCCAGGCAGCCATGGTCCGATGTGGCGTATTGATTCATGGACTCCGAATGCGGATCGAAGACCCTTTATTAAAATCAAGCAAGCCTTTTATACCTCTACAGCGGGCTGACGTGTCAGCCTGTACCTGTGCTTCAGTAATTTTCCCTTACAGCATTTTTTAACTATTACAGACATAGCAACTTTAGCAACTTTCTCATCTACAAGGCCAGAGACTAATCTTTTTTACAAACAGCTGCTGAAACAGACCACTGTGTTCTGCTAACTGTATTCTGTATCTTAAAGCTTCACTTCTTGCTCCCATGGCTTCCTGCCAACGAGCATAACCGTCTCCTTCTCCCAGGGTCGGCCTTTGCTCACTGATGCTGTCGAGCTGGCTTGAGAAATACCCACAGTCCGATGTGGCTGTGTGTACAGGAGCAGTTTCTACTGACTATTTACAAATGTCTGATCTATGGGCAGTCTGCCCTTCTATAGCAGAAGTTACCTAGGGGAGTGTTTGGGACGCTCCACTCAGGACGTTAACCAACACATTTAAGCATATAAATCAGACTTAAACACAACAGGAGCTGCCTTGGGGAATTTATAGGGCTGTCTGAAGTCTCCACCCAGAGGGGACCAGTAAGGATCACTCAGTGCTTAATTATGAAGCTCAGTCAATCAGCTACTCTCAAGTTAGTCCATTGTCTCAAGCCAGCCCATGTTCTCACTGATACAGGTGGCTGGCTGGGGAGCTCCTGGACCACCCAGGGAGTTAAGGGGTTAAATGCACTCTGTCTGCATGCAACCAAAACCCACACCCAGCTGCAGTGCAATTATAACTAAGGAACAAACTTGATTTTCTTATCACACCAGAAAATTATTCACTTGATTTTTTTCTTGCCAGAGGTGAGCATCTTCCACTGCTAACTAGCAGAGCTGTGATTATTCAAAACACGTTCCCTGTGTGCGCTGCTCTAGGGTGACACAAATGAGCCTCAGCATCTTTCATTAAAATGAGAAGTAATGTATTTTCATCTCACAAAAGAGGTGAGATTAGTACACGCAGGTGGAAAATCACAACTTTTACTGTAGCTAATGTGTGGTAAATCATAGTGCAGCTAAGCTGGCGTGCGGTAAATGACAGTGTGGCTGTCAGATGGTTGTGTACTTGTGCCCCGGAGTTTAAAGCCTGCAGCAGAATAAGCCAGAATAAGAAATGCTGTTCCCATAATTTGGGAGGCATCTGCAAGTCCTTCATTGCTCAGGCTGCTAAGAAATATTTGCCAGTTCAGTGAAGGAAAAAATAAAACAACAACAACAAAATGTTCTGTGTAAAGGTCATGGGCTGTTAGGCTGTCCTTGAAGGGCCACATTCCTGCAGGCTGTGTTGTGATAGTGACTGAAGTGAAATCTAGCTTCACATTTCCATCTGTGAAAAGGGCAGGGGAACTATTGTAATAATGGGAGGAGATTGAAAGTGGCTTTTTTTTTTTTCTAGTGGAGAATGTGAACATAGTCCTGACTACTGCCATTGCCTGGTTTTTCACCTTGAAACCTTCTCTTAAAAAAAATTGCCAGTCTAGTGTCCATGTAGCAGCCAGATGGCTGATAGATGACACAGTCACAATCTCCTGGGATGGAGTCGGGCCTCTGATAGACAGGTACTTGGTAAGATACAACACAACTGATGGGGACACAAAAGGATGTGGAGGTGGGGAAGGACAAGAGCATCACAGCTCTGACAGAACTGAAGCCAAGCAAAAAGTGTGCCGCCGGCCTCTGGGCAGAGAGGAGCCCAGCAGGCATCAGAGCTGTGACAGATAGGAAGTTTTGCTTTAGAATGAAATAACCTTGTGCCAGGGGATCTGCATTTCAGACAGATTCTGAGCAGGTGATTTGGTTTTTTGGGGTTAATTCCCAGCGCAACCCAGGCAAGAGGTTGTGATCCTCAGAAAGCAAAAGGCAGTCACACCACGCTCTGGGTGGGCTGTCCTCTCTGCCCGTGTAGCGTTGGCTGTGCTTTTGTTGCTCCCCAACAAAGAGCCCTGCTGTTGCAGCTGTGAGGAGGAGACCTGGACCCCAGCTGGAATACCTCAGAATTGGGCACCTCCCAGCTTTGTAGTCCAGGCCCATCCTTGGTAAGAAATAAAGGATGAGAAGTGGAAGAAATCGGCAGGGCCCTTGAGGGGACGGAGTAATGTAACCTCATTGGGACAACCCGTGTTCTTCACTCCTAACTGTTCCTGCAGAAATCAGCAGCCCAGCTCACCCAGCCCACAGGCAGAGGGCTGACTGGCCCTGCCAAGGCTCGGCCACCTTGGCACCGACATGCAAATGTGTTCACCAACGTGTCAAGAATGGCAGGACTTGCAAGCTGTTAGCACCCTTGTTTTATCTACCTTGCGCTATATTCAACAGTACAAAATGATTGGGCTCCGCAAATGGTGATATCCAATGGTACTTGTTTGTGTCAGTTATTTACACTGCGTGAGCAAAACACAATTTATAGCTAAAGAGAAAACTTCTATTAGATATACCAGTTTGAGCTGGAGAAAAAAAAAAAGCACACTTTTGGACACACAAGCCCTTTTCAGGTCTTTGGGCATAGAATCATTTCCCAAAGCTTATCTGTTTTTTCCAAATATATTTGATAGTCTAATAAAACATACTACCTCTGCCTATAAAACTTGCGTTGTCTGTATCTTTAGACCATTGTGATTACCACAGCACTATACTAAAACTTCTAATAATTACAACTTTTGCTTACAGAAATCGACAGCCCAACTGAGCTGTTGAGTGACCAAGTGACAGAGGATGTAATTACCATCTCCTGGAACAAAGTCCAGGCTTCGATAGACAGATACAGAGTGAGCTACACCTCGGCTAATGGAGACACAGAGGAGAGAGAGGTGGAGAAAGACAAGAATGTCACTACCTTGGCAGGACTGAAGCCAGGCGTGGAGTACGTCATTCACATCTGGGCAGAAAAGGGGGAACAACAGAGCAAGAGGGCCAGCACCAAGGCTGTGACAGGTAAGGGGGCAATGGATTTTGTTAAGAGTATAAGTTACAGCCCAGCTTTGCCTTAACACTGAATAAGTCCATCCCAAGATGGGTTCGCAGCAGAGGGAGATTCAGGCTTAACTGATTAAGTCTTCAGGTTAGTGGATCTTGCTGTGAAACCTATTCACCATCATCACAGAGAGATTCTAATTACCTGTACATACTACAAATGGGCTGTGTTGTGAATACTAATAGGGATTAGGGAAAACGAAGCCTTTGCAGCAGTGTGTCTCATGTATTTGTACAGTCTTGTTTTATTTTAATTGGTTAATTTGTTTATCCTTCATCATGCAAATGCTCAGTTCCTTTTTGCAGATGAAGAAATTGAAGTGCAGAGAGATCAGCAGCATGCAGGACACCTTTTCTTGCAATAGGATGATTAATCCTTGCTCCTCAGTTGTTCTTACCGGGACTTTTTCCCCTGTGTGGCCAGTCCTGGTTAAGAAGATGTAGTGATCTGCCCAGCGTGAGGGTTACTGGTTTATAACAACATTGTAGAGCTGAATGTCTGAATTGGTTGCAAGCAGTTGCAAGTGTTTACAAGACCCATGCTCTAGGTCAGGGGCTTGCTGAAGGAAGATGAGTAAATGTGTACCTGGATCATCCTGGTCTCTTGACAAAAGAGCTTTGGTGATCCTCTCGCATACGTGTCATCTGTCCAGAAAGTGAGCTTCGGAGGCTTGTGACCGTGAGAAAACAAGAAAGTAACAGTATCTTGCTTTGCGAGGGTTCTCTTCTGTGCAGGTCAGGACTGGCTGTGGTGTTCCCTAGGAAAGCTTCTACAAGGATTAACGACAGAACGCAGCCAAACTACCTCAGACCCTGACAGCTCCCAGCTTTGTGGGTCGAAACAGTGTGTGGTCAGAAAATAGGGCTTGAAAAAGGAGGAACCTGGCAAGGCCCTTGAGGAGAAGGAGTGTCACAGAACAGCCTGACTATGACAGCCTGTGTTCTTCACTTTTAACTGTCTCTGCAGAAATCGACAGCCCGGCTCACCTGGTGACTGACAGAGTGACAGAGGACACAGCCACCATCTCCTGGGACAGGGTCCAGGCTCTCATAGATAGGTACATGGTGAACTACACCTCTGCTGCTGGTGACACCGAGGAGATGGAAGTGGGAAAGAATGAGACTACCACAACTCTGAAAGGACTGAAACCTGGCATTGAATATGTCATCTTCCTCTGGGCAGAGAAAGGAACCTGGCAGAGCAAGAGGATCAGCACTGAGGCAGTGACAGGTATTTCAGAGAATCTTTGTTGCCTCTACATGACACGATGTTGTGGAGGTGATCTCAATTTCTGGCCTGTCTTCTGGCCTGTTGCAGACAGCAGTTTGTCTTGTGGTCACCTGTGATGTGGGGACATCCATGCTACAGGCACCTTCAAGCTCCAGATAGAGATGGTGCCGAGTTTAGAGAACTTTTAGGAACTAATGACTGCTCTGTAAGTTCAGAAGCTATCAGCCCAGTGTGAGCTTCACAGCCCTTTGCTAAAGCACTGTGCTCCCTGCTGATCAGCTTTGCCTGCTCTTCTTGGTCTTCAGGCATGCTAAGCTTTGCAGGTGTGGCTGAGCTCTGCCCCACAGCATCCACTACTGCTGTTGAATCCTGCCTAAACTTAGGATGGTTCAACAAGTGTCACTGCTAAGAATAGCATTTATCAATGCATCAAGGCTTGGAAGGAAACATCCCTATTTTAATCATCTTCTCTGAAAAAATGAAAGGGTAGCAAATGGTTTGAGCCTGGATAAAGTCTCTTAAATATCAGTAATTCCATTTGTATAATCAAGGCTTTTGCTTACAGGAGTTGGCTGCTTAGCTAGGCTGAAGACTGACTGATTGGCAGAGGACACTGCTAACGCTTCCTGGGAATGAGGGAGAGATGGGGTAGGACACAGGTCTTGCTATCCTGATTAGTTTGAAGCCAGACGTGGTGTCCATCATCTGTATCTGGGCAGGGAAAGGAAACAGGCAGAACAAGAGGACAGGCACAAACACTCTCATGGGTAACCCGTGGAAATCTTGGAGTGTGATTTTGCAGCTATGGAAGGAGGAATGTAGTTTCACATGGTGAATTAGCTATGATTATGTTCTCCCTCGACCACTTCTTTTACCAAGGACTTCCTTCGTCAGTCATAATGCAGAGAACTGTTACACCTTGCTGGCACCTCACAGCTCAAACAGACATATTTGTGGGAGGGGCTGATAAAAGGGAGCAGGGTGATGGAACTGCCTCAGTCTCTCACATGTTTTTCTTTGCCTCACTGTGCCTGTGTCAGCCAGGAGTCCAGGGCCATGCATGCTCCCAAATAATTGGTCTAATGGATCTCCCTTAAGGTTCATAAGAACTTGGGTTCAAAATAGCCTCAAATTTCAGTTGGACCTTCTTCTGCACAATGGTTCTTCCCTGTATCTCTACTTGATATTTTACTCCCGAGGCCTCTGTCTGAAGACAGCCGTGCCTCAGTGCCTTACCTTGTCTTACTCCACTTCTTCATTGTCAATGGCAAGCATGGTGATTAGCCACTGAGACCCAGTAAAGCTACAGATGAGTTAGTCCATGTCATCCTTTGCTTCCTGAGGGCAGGATCTTGGAGCTTTAGAAAGCAAAAGTTTTAAGGGGAACACGTGTGTATTTTAGTTACCCACACTTTCTACTCTGCACTTTATTTCTTAGAAATGGACAGCCCAAAGAATCTGGTAACTGACCAAGTGACAGAGCACTCGGCCACCATCTCCTGGGATGGCGTCCAAGCTCCCATAGACAGGTATATGGTGAGCTACACTTCTGCTGATGGGGACACTGAAGAAATAGAAGTGGGGAAGGACAGGAGCGTTACCACCCTGACAGGACTGAAACCAGGCATGAAGTTCACCATCCACCTCTGGGCAGAGCTGGGCAGCAAGCAGAGCAAGAGTGCAAGCACTGACATACTGACAGGTAACTGTGGGCAGAAGGGAAAGGAGATGGGGCAGAAGGACCCTACTCTCTTGTTGTTTTACATTTCGTGATCTCTCTTTGCATTACTGGGTAATGAAGATGCACAGTTTAAACCCATTCTGGGGATAAATGCATGAGTACAGACTACCGTAACAGAGATTGCTGCTGTAGATGATCACAGAAGAGGCAGATGTCATAATACAAAAGTGATGACAGCTAATGGTACCCAGCTTATTTCACGAGCCTTTAATCAAAAGCATGCCGTGCATCATGTGCTGCTATCAAGCCTAACAATAACAGAGGTTTAACAACCAAAGTCAAACCATTTTAGAATTGGGGACAGTTAAAAATAACGGCCTGCCCTTTGACTCCGTGACCTTAGACTGGTCCTAGGAGACTGCCAAGCAGGCTTGAATCTGTCCTGTTCAGTCGGCCGTAAGGATTGTGGTGCACTGGGAACGTTTCAGGATCACTCCATATCCACTGGCCTTGCGAATGTACTTTTTCTTAGTTTGTGAATCAAGCTGGTGTGAGATGAGCAACTGAAGCTTAGATTTAGGGCAAGAGGCCAAGCAGTTCCCCAGTGCTTACAGAGGTTGAGGGCAGCTGATGGGGACAAATGGAGATCTCTTGAGGTCAAAAGACTGAACCTATCTGGAACTAGAAATGCAAGGAGATTTTCAGCAAATTGAAATGTCATTTTTTTGAACTGGAATGAAAATGGAGACACCTGGAAATTTCACATGAAGTGAAACTGCTGGGAGAGGGAATACATCTAGCATTAGTAGGGATTTTTTTTTAAAAAAATATCTGCACAAAAAAAATATGTACTTTTTTGTTTGTTTGCTTTCAGTGTACTTCCAAAAGTAATGATGACTCTGCTAAAACAATACAACTTCTAAGGTGGGGCGGGGGGAACAGACGTATTTTCTTGCTCAAGGTGATGGTTAATTGTTGCCTAGCATTAAGACTGGCTGTGTCAGGGAGCATTCTGCCGTGACCTCCTGCACCCGTGGAGACTGTGGCCTAAGAGCAGTGCTGTGAAAGTGGTGACCCTAAGGGTGCCCTTCCCGTCCCTTGCTTCTCCTGATGGATTTGGTACCTTTGAGCTCCCTCCTCTGTCCATCGGGAGGTACACATGTAGTCAGCTACTCCGAGAAGGTTTCTGGGTCGTTTTACCTAGAGCAATTGTTTAGCGGTCTCCCAGACGAAGCATGGGTTCATTAGATAACGAACTAATGCTTAACTCAGGAGCCTAGTGAAAGGTGGTTTCAGCCAGAATGAATAGGCAGTGTTTTAAACAACATGCTGTGTGAACTTTGGTGTTACTGTCCCTGTTGTTCTCCTTATATGTGGTATTTTGATTTCTTCTCTGCCTTGGTATCTGTTTTAAGTAGTAACCCTGTGCATGAGGAGTGCAGCAGTTCCTGGGAGAAGCTACACTGCTCCGCTCTTCTCATTTATCTAAGAGAGACATAGCTTGGCCTTGTCTTTCTCCACGGCCTTTTCACAACTGTAACATTTCACCGATGCATTAGAATTGTTGTTATGTTTATCCTCATAGCACTCTTAAAGGTCTGGGAAGTGTTGTTGCCTGGTTGATATGGAGAGCTGAATCGACGGACAGTGACATGGCCGTTGTCCCCCAGGGAGGTTTGTGGAAGAGCAGGGAATTGAGATGAATTATTCAGTTATAGGTTGCTATAAACTCAGCTGTACTTCAGGCTTGGAGCACTCTTCCCTGAAGGCCAACAGTGCCCACCAAGAACCTTCTCTCTAAAACTTGGAAAGCCGGACAAACCTCACTCCTTAAATTGTGTTCCTTAAGGTGTTCCCAAAATACAAAGAATATAGCAAACACAGTATGAAAATTAGGGAGAGGCTGCTTTTCCATTGTTGTGACATCCACCTGAGCTTTAGAAATTGCTTTTATCCTGAGAGGAGCACTGCAGCCCTGTTGTGGATATCTCATAAGGTGCTTTTCGACAACTGCTGTGAACTGGCATTGCTTAAAAATAATTCCGTTCTCCTTCTCATGCTGAACTTGGGCAGTCTGACTGCACAGGAAAAGTCTGGCTAGGCCTTTGATGTCGGTGAAGGAGCTGATGTCCCGTGTACAGCACAGACTAAACTGTAAAGCCGTGGGTTTCTTTGTGTTCCTGTGTTTACTAAAGAAGGCTGAAGCATGACAGCAATAAAGGCTGTGAAGTCATTCTTCATCTGCAGTAGGGAAACAAGGGGTTGGGGCTCTCAGCAGGCCATACTAGGGCTGTACTCCAGGATTAAGGCACAGACCCCAAACCTGAGCTGTCTGTGAGTGCTCCTCAGAGATAAGCCTGATGGAGACTTCTCAGGCAGACGTGTCAGGACCTCCAGGGCCCTGTACAGTTGACCCACTTGCAGGGCTCAGCAAGCATCCCAAACCAGATCTGTAGCAGAGCTTGCCATGTTTGGTCTAGGCTTCTGCTGCTTGCTAGCTATGAAGGTCACTGGGTGACTTCTGTAATTCCCAGTTAACAGGATCAGGCATTGAAAGCTCAGCCCAAGCCCTGCCCTGCAGTTGCTGTCTTTCATTTATGCAACGGGACTTGAATTTTCTTTTTCCATAGAGATTGACCCTCCCAAAAACCTCCGTGTATCAGATGTGACTCATTCTACTGGCGTGGTTACCTGGACTCCTCCTGCAGCACAGATTGATGGCTACGCTCTGATCTACCAGGGTGAAGATGGCACAAGCAAGGTACAGTGAATTCCTTGGTCCTGCAGACCCCACTGAAATCACCCCTATGATTACGGGCTCTGCCAGTTCGGTCTTGTGGGTATATGGACCACAGAAAAACAATTCTGAGGCGGAATCTATGCTATCCACAGCCCAGGGAGGGAGATCTTAAGGAAGGAGATGTGCTACTGTCATGAGTAGAAGATGTGGAAGGACTTTGTGACAGTGGAACACCTCTTCCCAACAGATCTCCAGGTGCAGAGAATGTGTTTGCTTCTTCACTTTGCTTTTCTAACTTGTTACTACCTGGAAGAGCAGCACCCACCAGGGGTAGGTTATCCTGTCGTGTTTCTCGAGACCTTGCCCCCAATCTTCCTTCAGAGGAGATGGACTCCATGTTTCAAGGATAGACAGTGAATGTGCCTGTCTGAACTCTACAAGAAATGCCCATTAATGCATTTGGAGTGTGAGGCACTGTGGTCCAGAAAAGGTAAATGCTATTCAGAGTTGGGTTGACCCTCCATCTGTTTTATTTGGCAGGAAGTACAGCTGGGTCCTAGCGAACAACGGTTTGTGCTGGAAGGACTGGAACAAGGAGCAAGCTATACCGTCTTTGTGATGGCCTATAAGGGAGATCACCAGAGCAGAAAGACAGACGGTACTTTCTCAACAGGTAGGACTTGGCCTTGGATGTTGCACTTTTCCCTGTGCTCTGCAGCTGTTGTGTGCTTTTATGGTAGAGGTCAGAGATGGAGTTCATTTTCTACAGATGCACTGGGAAACTACGTGATCATAAGCAAACCATAGTCTAGCAAATCAATGATGTGTCCCCTGGCTGGGTGTCCATTTTAAGCCACACCATCTGGAGGCTTGGAAACACAATGGGATAGCATGAGTGGAGATTGCCCGCGCTGGTCAGTGCTGCTGGCAAACCTTGCTAGCCAAGTGTGGGACAAAGCCTGCTGGTGAGCTGCCAAGTGGGCAGGAGACATGATGATACGCTAGAGATCTTTCTGCACCATCCTAGTAATGGTAGGGCACAGCTGTTTAAGTACTCTTGTGGCACTGGGTGGCTGCCCAGGTTGTTTTCAGAGGTCAGGAGATGCACACCAGAATGGCAGCAAATCAAACAAAATCTCACGCCGGCTTGCTGTGGGAGCCTCTCGTACTGTGCCGGTGCCCTCAGGGGTTGCCAACTGTGGACAAACTGTGAAACGCAGAGAAATTAAAGTCCCTGTTTACTGGCACTCCCACCTTCACAAACAAGGGCTCCTCTTCCCGCTCTCACTGCGACTCAAGACTGCATCTCCTGCAGCCGCTGGGGCCCCTATCCACGTGCCAGCTCCCGGGCGGCGGGGAAGGCTGCCAGCAGCAACCTGCTGATACAACTGGGTGCTGTGTGAGTGCACAGCGGCGGCTACTGCTTTCTTTACTTCTCCTCCTGTACTGTCACCCTTAGGAGATTCCTAAGGGTGCGAAATGCCTCCTCTGACTCTGTGGCCTGCTTTGCTGGTGAGAATTTTTGCCCCTCCTGTTCTCACAGTTAGCTTCCTCTACCCGTATCCCGCGGACTGCAGCCAGGCGCAGCAGGACAGAGACGCTTCCAGCGGCGTGTACACCATTTACCTCAACGGGGATGGCAGCAGGCCGATGCAGGTGTACTGTGACATGACCACTGATGGAGGCGGGTGGATAGTGAGTGATTCTCTGCTCCTTTTTTTTTTCTTTTTTTTTTTAAAAAATGAATGTAATCAGGTGGACCTGGTACTGGTGTTAGCTCAGGCTCCTTTTGCTCTACTGCACTGCTGCGTTTCAGCTCCTGCCTTGATGGAGCGGCAGGTTTTAGGAAGGGTGGCAGATGCTGATGTACCCCCTCAGAGTGTCAGTAGGCATGCTGAGGGAGGCTGAAGGACTCAAAGGCTTTTTCATTGTTTGGTCATGAATGCCGTACAGGCTTCTGTTATTGCTGATGGAGCACAATGACTGAGTTATGACAGCTTAGTGCGTTACTTCTTGCCAGTTGGGTCATGGAGTTGTCTGTGAGGGTGGATTCAGCTCTGTCCTAACATGAGGTAGTAGAGCTTGGCTTAACTGCCATTTTAAAATGAGTTAACTAAGCTATATAATATCATCTTGACCACAGTGTAAGGTTACCTGTATGGACAGTTAACGCAGTTCACCTGATGCCTGTTAGTATTTTAAATGCTAGTGCTGTGAGCATACACCTGGACCCTGACTACACGGTAGTTGTTGAGTGGCTAAAAGGAATCTGGAGGCAGAAGCACAGATGCTTTGAGGTGGGGAATGTGTATGAACATGAAGGAGTGAATCTGAGGTTCTGTGATAGCTGTTTCCCTAAACCACCAAATAAAAAAATCTTTATTCCCTTTTTCACCTTTCGTTTTCAGCGATAAGTGATTTTTCTCCACTGAAATAAATCATTGTGTGTTACTGCCCAAGTCCCTCTGATTTTGGTGAAGTTTAGAACCCCAAATGTCTTGTGGATCTTGTCTCTAAGCCTGTTTTGTCTCAGTGTTTAGAGTGCGCTCAGACTTGTGCTGTCCATAGGCATTTCTGGAAAGTAAACTAAAATTTGCACAACTAAGTATTCAGCCTAGTGCTTATATGCAGTCAGAAAACAGAAATGGATTCCTGTGTGTGCCCTGCTCAGGGGCAGTGTACTGTCAGCTACAGTCGTCTGCTCCTGAATGCTTCACCTTTTCGTCTGCATTTGAATCAGGATGAGCATTTCTCATTCCCATCCTCCTTGTCTCCTCAACCTGTCGGGAACTCTCACTCAGCAATCCTTGCTTTGCAGGTGTTTCAGAGGCGGAGCACTGGCGAGGTGGATTTTTACAAACGCTGGAAAAATTATGTGGAAGGCTTTGGAGATCCCACTGGGGAATTTTGGCTTGGTATGGTACATGAGTGTGGCTAGTGGAGAGGTGAAGATTAGCTCTGTAGAAGCATCTAAATGCTGAAATATCCAACCCCCCCACCCCGAGCTTGCAGTCTTGAACTGTCAGCTTTTGTGTCTTCCCTAGAAATGCCAATGAAGCATTCAGGAATCTCTAAAGGCCCGCTAAGTATTTCCACTGGTATCTTTGGGCTTTGGAGCAGTCCCAGAGCAAGCTAAACTCTGGAAAGTGTGTTCCTACGAGAGAGGAAATAAAGAGATTGCATTCATGAAAATGCAAAAGACCAGGATACTACACAAAATTTGGTGTACTCAGTCATTTTTTGTCTGTCTTGTTCTGTTAGTGAACTCTGTGTGAATCAGAGAATCCAACACTGAATAGGTCAAGGTCTTTGGAGCAATAGGCTTTAAATGTTCTGGGGAAAATAATGTTGTGCTACAGCCAGTCTTGTGCTGGTTTAGGCTGTTTGTTTTTTCTGATACTGCTGTCTTTTGCCAGAAAATGAGATAAGATGACATAAACTTGACGAAATATCATGACAGCATCAAGCAGGGAAGGAGGGAGGCAGGAAATTGCTGACTTAACCAAAATGGCCACAGGCTGAGAGTCCAGGACTGCAATGGTGAACAAACTTTTCCCATTTAAGAGTAATTCTTTTTTTGTTCTAGGTCTTGACAAGCTGCACAATCTCACAAGCAGCAGCCCCATCCGCTATGAGCTCCGCGTGGATTTGCGGACAGCCACCGAATCTGTCTACGCTGTCTACGACTTCTTCCAGGTTGCCTCGAGCAGGGACAGATACAGGCTGTCGGTGGGGAATTACAGAGGCAATGCTGGTGAGGAGTGCCTTGTACTTGTGCTGTCTCCGCTTAGCACAGGGAAGCGAATGCTGGGTCCTGTGTATTTGTTTTGCCAGCAACACCAGAGCTCGTTAGGTGTGGTTAGATCAGATGTGGTTCTCTATGAGGAGAGAAGCCTGTACTTCCTAGGAAGACTGAGGAGAGTGTGCCCACAGGCCCATCTCCTAAAAAGGAAGAGTTGCTTTTTCATGGGGAAGAGAGGGCTCTGTAACCCGGTGACACACCAGCTGAAAAGGCAGACTGGGAAGCGTTTCCCTGAGATAACCTGTGCTGATGGGGGAGCAACTTCTGGGGCTCCGCAGCTGAGAAGTACAAAGAAAGTGGCTTTTATTCAGGGTGGGAGTTTGCTCAACAGCAGTAGCTATCCTGGTGCTGGCTTCTGCCACTGGTAAATCCTTGCCATTGCTGTTGTGTCCATAGTCTTGCATTTATCCTTTAATATCCTCTTGCCATAAGGTTTAGATCTTCAGCCAGGAGGATCCAGCCCTTGGACACGCCCTTTAAGAGCAGCCCTTTAGAAATTATTGTCCAGACCTATCCTGTGCTTTTGCTTTTCCCCTGACAGGCCTGCTGTGTTCTGCCTGAAGGGTGTATAAGCCCTCAGGCTGAGCTGCTGTGGTATCTTACTCCTGTTCACGGCTTTCCTCCCTTCCCTTAGGGGATGCAATGACGTACCACAACGGCTGGAAGTTCACAACATGGGACAGAGACAACGATGTGGCTCTCAGCAACTGTGCTCTGACGCACCATGGCGCGTGGTGGTACAAGAACTGCCACTTGGCCAACCTCAATGGGAAATATGGGGAGAGCAAGCACAGCGAGGTGAGTGGCAGAGGTCCGTGTGGCCGTCGGCTCTTCTCCCTAGCCTTGAGAAAACACATGGCGGGGGATGTCTCTCCTTGGAGAGATTGCCCAGACTATCCTAACTCATTTCATTTGAAAGGAAAATGATCCATAAGGAAACTTAGAGCTCTTACTCTGTCCTCCCTGGATCCAGAGGACTGGAGCTCATGGCCTCCTGGTTCTTGTGGGCAGAGATACTTCAGGTGGAGCTGTCTTGATTTTTTTTTTTGAGAGGAACACATGAAAGAACACTCGCTGGGAGCCACACTAGGATGCTGGCTCACTGTCTCATGTAGCCTATACCTTGGCTTTCAGTGCATGCCTCTGTGTGCATCTCATTGTACAGGCTTATTTTGGGCTTGAAGATGGCTCAGTCCTGTTCTGTTCCAAACTGGATAGAGATTTGATTTATATTTGGGATGTCTGGAAGACTGATTATAATTAGTCAAAATCTGACAAACATCTCTGTTTATTGGAGGGCTAAATGGTATTAGAGGAGGGGCAGTGGTAGACTCCTAACACCTGGTCTGGCTGCTTTAGTAAAAGAAATTCCTTGATCTTTTCCCAGGGCGTGAACTGGGAGCCATGGAAGGGCCATGAATTCTCCATCCCTTTTACTGAGATGAAGATCCGTCCTCAGTCTCCCAGTAATGAGCCAGTCCTGGGGAGGAAGAAGAGGTCATAATTATAGAGTTGTTAGTAAAATGCATGTGAGAGACTGGCCTGGAGTGCAAAGATTTTTGGACACCTCTATTTCTGTGTGTGTGTGTTTTCTTCCCGTTGGCCCAGCTGCTGGAGGGAGCCTGTCTTTGCTAGCAGTCTCGCAGGACATTGCACTGGGTTTTTAGTCCATCCCTCTGACCAAACAGTCCCAGTAACTCAGTTGGCTTTACCTGATGCTTGCCCCAGCACAGATGCCCCTTCCTGGCCCTGGGAGCCGAAAATACAACTGGACTTTGCTCTCCCTGTGAGGAGAGACCTGTGTGGCCCAAGGCTCCCCTCTGCAGACACACGTTCTTCTTTCTGCTGGTTTGAGCAGCTCTAAGAGTTGAGCTCTGTTAACATGAACAGTGGCTTCATTCAGCTCAAGCTGTAACTGTGGGAAGAGGCCAGGTCTGCTTCTCTGTGGAGAGCACCATGACCTGAAACTACTTCCCGGAGATGTCTGAGTGGTCCCTGGGCTGCTGGGGCAAGAGGATGGAGCAGACCTCAAAGGATGTGTGGTGTGGGGAGGCTGTTTCCATCCCTTGTGTTGAACCATGCTGCTGCCTCTGCTCTGGTTCTGAGAGAGGATCCTCAGCTTTTGAGTGCCTTCACGAGGGATCTGCAGAGCCCTCTCCTTGGCCTGAGCATAACCACACAGTCCGGCCAAAGCAGGGAGAGCCCAGCGGGGGTCTGCTTATGGCTTTGCCCCCTCCCTGTGTGGGGAACACACTTGCAAGCTGTATTCTTCAAGCCTTTTCATTGCAGACTCTTGGATCCACGTCCCACAGGCTGAGGCCAAACTCCTTGGTGCACTTCATTGTACGGCTGCTTCCCCTGGAAAGGCAAAGGGGGGAAATGAAAAAAGTTTAAGCTCCCAATATCCGCAAATCTCTCCTACAGTGGAGGTTTTGGAGGCCAAAAAGTGCCCCCCGAGGGACCAGCCCTGTGGCAGCACAGCCTGCCCATGCACAGAGCTGCAGGGAGGGTTAAGCTGTGGATGAGCTCCCAGAGATTAAATCTCAACAGGAGAGATGTGGCTCGGCTGGGTTCACCACCTGTCTCTTTGCACCCTGTCTTCTTCCAGCTTTCATCCGTGCTGGTGCAAAGGGTTGAAAAGAGGCATGGCACGATGTGCCTGTGGCAGGGAAAGGGATTGCTGTATGCCAAGCCTATGCAGCGTCGGCTGGGCCACTCGCCTTTCAATGCTGGGGATGTTGTCCCAAAAAGTGGGATCTTCACCTGGGATGCAAGCCAATTCCCACAGAGTCGAGGTATTTCTTTTATTACAGGTTTGCACAAAGTCAGGAGGCAGATGATGTCCCACCAAGCTGGCTCAACTCCACACAAAAACTACAGCATATTTATCCTGTTACATGATTAGCAAAAACCCACCCAAAGTCACACTTATGGGTTAGTAATTACACCATCATTTGTTACTGGTTAGTTATATCTACATTAGCCTCACTTGCTATGTAAATTAGCACGCATGCTCCTTACCTGTGTGTGGGGGTCAGTCTTTTTGGTCTTGAATTGAAGTCAGTGGTCGTGATCTCCCCCTGCCACCTTTACCTTCCCCCAGTTACTGCTGATTTCTGCTGACTTGACACTTCGTGTGGCAACTTCCCAGCCTAATGATGTTCTGGGGTAGGATGTTCCTCTTTACCAGTCTTCAGTTGCACTTCAAGGATCTTAGTAATTAGCAAGCCTGCAGATTTACGAGCTCATACGATAGTCTAACTTTTGGCTTATCAGTTCCCCCCTCATCGCTTCTGCATTCCTTAGGTAAAGCTGCTCTTTCTGTCTGAGAAATCGGTTTCTCTCCTCCACCTGTCCATCTGTTTCTCGTCTACATCAGGGATGACGAGTTTATGCCAGCTTGCAGGGCAGCAGCACGCTCACACTTATAATCGGTGCTAATTTTGTGGTAGAGCAGCCCAGACTGGCCTTCCAGAACTGGTTTTGCCCCTCAGTTGAGCTGCTACGTCATTTTCAAGGCAATTTTTAGGGTTGCGGATTGCCCCGTGGCAGCACATCCTTCCCTGCAGAACTACCGCTGCAGAGAGCGAGACTTCAAATAAAAATAAAAGGGAAGGATAGTTGGGGAGGGGGGTGCATTGTTTAATAGGCCAAGTAGGATAAGAATAATTAGGTTTTTTTCTAGATGAGGAATAGAAAGAGAATTTCGTTTTAGCATTGATGTAACACCAAGCAACTGATGAGCTGCAGCCAAACCTATGGCCTTGCCGTGCTTGGGTGACGTGTGTGTAGAGCAAGGGATGCTCCCGGAGAGATTATAAACTGGGGGGGACGCAGCTGATGGGTGCCTGGGAGGAATAATTTACCCGCGATGCTGCAGAGCTGGACCATGTCCTGCTCCCTCCTGGTCTTGTGCTGACCTGTCGCAGCCGTCGGAGAGCTGATGGGAAGGGGGAGCTTTAGTTCCTCCGGAGCTGCCGTGGGTGTTATCTGCTCTCGGCTGTGCCCCGCGTCACCCGTCAGTGGCCCTTGCCGGGGGCTCTGCAGCCGCTGTTCCCATGCCCTGGGGAAGCACATGGCAGAGCACAGCGTTTCTGAATTAACTCACAAGTCTGGGAAGAAGAAGGGAAGCTGAATCCCTGTCTGGGAGAAACTTTTGCTGGGGGTCCTGCTGTCCCCCCATAAGTGATCCCAGGGCCAGCCCCACCGGGGTGCGGGAGGAAGGGGATGGTGTGGAAACGCTGCGGCTTGGCACGGCGGGTGGGAAGGTCGGCCTCGCGCCTCTGCGTCGATGTCTCTCCCTTTCGGGGAAGTGCTGCTCGGCCATTTCAGGGACTCGCAGGAGGCTCTTGCTTGGTACATTTTAAAGATCCTTTCTCTGAACGGGCTGCCCCAAAGTTTACGGAGGGGCGCAGTCACTGCTGAGCAGCCTCTGGACTTGCCTGCCCTGGTTTCCCTGCCTCTCTTCAACAGCAGGCACCACTCCCAGTCTCAGTTCAACCTGGTTTTTGGAGGAGGTACGAGGATGATGCTGCTATTTACCAACACGTATCATGGTTCTTAGCGCAGCATCTTAGGGGAAAACCCTTCTGCCTGGAGACGCTGTCAGAGCTTGTTCAGCTGCTCCCTATGGACTCACTTTTGACTTCATGTACAGGACTAAAAAAGCAGCCTGGTTTTGGCATCCAGCAGCCACTGCACCTGGTGACACCGGATTTTCATCTGAATCTTTGGGCTGGGACCAAATCTTGTCCTCTTGCATCAGACAACAGGTGAATGACGTTTATTTCTGGCAATCGATCACATTAACATCTATGTAAAAATAGATGCTAACGCTATGAGTATTTAGGTTGCTGAGGCCTGAAGAAAATCCAGAATAACAAGGTAAATCCTCATTTTTCCAGGCCTCTCTCTGTTTAGGCCAGAGCTGGGCAAAATAATTCACCACAAATGTAAAAAATTTGTGTGTGCTGAGGTGGTGTGAGATTGGGTGGAATTGATCTGATCAAATATATTGAAATGAGAAATATTTTCTTTCTGTATTTCTAAAATATTTCAGTTATCCGTGGATTTCAGTTTAATTATTAAGTATTATGCAAACCTCAGTATGTTTCAGTCTGTGTTGAATTCAGCAGCTGTTTGAGGGTTTGTTTTTAGTTTTGCCTTAGTTGAAAAAGCTGCAAATGTTTGCCCCAAACAACTGAGAAAAAGGTTGTTTGAAGTTTTTCCAGAAAAAGCAAATATTCACTTTGCACAACTACGGCCCTGACCTAAATAAAACTTTGTCCAATATGATGATCTCTTTTGCTTAATGAACTGAAAAATAGCTAGGGGAAAAAAAAACAACAAACGGAATACAGTAAGACTCCAGTCTCACTTTGAAGACTCTGCTGGTTTCTTTCACAATCTCATTATTTATTTTTAAATAGAAGTCTTGTTTCAGAAGCAAGCAGATATTTTGTCTTTAAAAGGTCATAAAAATATCTCCGTATTAGAACAGCTCAGGGGGATGACGCTTACAGGGATGTGCCCGAGCAGTGTGAAGTTGCCCTTGCACGCCTTGGCGATGCATTACACACACAGTACGTAAAACTGAGAGTGAGATAACGTTAAAATACAGATTTCCCTCAAGATACTGACATAACATGATTCATGTTCTGCTGGTTCTTACATCAACGCCCATACTGAACCGTGCAGAGCAGAAACAGTGTTTTCTGTTACCAAAGTAGTGTATGGAAATAAAAAGGAGGGAGGGGAGGAAGCAACCCGTATCTTGTACTAAACCGTGCCCTGGGCTGCCCTGCCGATGCTGGACTCCAGCAGGTAATTCTCCCATCTAGCCCAGTGTTTGGCACGGTTAAAACCCCTGTGGTTTTGTCTTCATGTCCCCAAACAACCAAAAAATCTGTCCTTTGGTTAGAACACGAACAAATGAGGACAGGCTGAGAGAGCCGGGGCTGTTCAGCCTGGAGAAGAGAAGGCTCCGGGAAGGCCTTAGAGCAGCCTTCCCGTACCTAAAGGGGCCGACAAGAAAGCTGGGGAGGGACTTCTTACAAGGATGTGTAGTGATAGGACACGGGGCAATGGCTTTGAACTGGAAGAGGGAGGATTTAGATGAGATATTGGGAAGAAATTCTTGACGGTGAGGGTGGTGAGGCCCTGGAAGAGGTTGCCCAGAGAGATGCCCCATCCCTGGAAGTGTTCAAGGCCAGGCTGGATGGGGCTTTGAGCAACCTGGTCTAGGGGAAGGTGTCCCTGCCCACGGCAGGGGGGGTGGAACGAGGTGAGTTTTTAAGATCCCTTCCAACCAAACCATTCCATGACTCTATGAAGTAACACCCTCCTCTTCCTTCATTTTCTCCCCTCCTGCAAGTTAATGGCTACAAATCTCCTGAGACAGGTCAAGGCACGCGGCAGGAGGAAGAGACAGGCTGTGGGTTTAGGGTGCAGGGCTGTGCCTCAGCTGAGCCATCAGCAAGGCACCGTTGGCAGGAGACCCGGCCAACCCCAGGGTCCAGTTGCTGTAAGGAGCACTCGGATGCGCTGCTTGTAAAAACACCGCGGTGTTCTCAATTTGCATCTTGTTTGGATAGAGCCTGGCTTTGTAAGGCCCCAGTCTGTGCTGCTTATATGGAAATAAGCCATGCTCTGTTACAGCTGCTCCTTCTCTGGCAGGCAGCAGCGCCGGCACAAGGGGCTGACACCTGGGGCTGACTTGGGTTATTATCAATGCTGTAACCTGCACCTACCGCCCAGGTGTTCCCCGAGTTGGCTGCTCTACCCCAGGTCATCTGCAGAAATGCAGTGTGCAGGGGCATCGGTGTCTCCAGGACTTCCACGGATGCAGAAGGGGAAGCACGGTAAGAAATCAGCCTGCTTCGTTGAGGATTTTTAGTGTTAATGCCAGAGATTTTGTCTTTACCAGCTAATCCCAGCTCTACTCCTAGTTGCTTTAGCATATGCCAGAGCACCAGCTGCCTGGCAGGGAGGCAAAGGAGGGCAAGGACCTGGTGTGCTGCCTTATGTGGCTTGAAATAAATATCCACGTTAACATCTACATTCATCAATAAAAGTTAGCTGGGGAGAGGCAGGCAGACGGCTTCCTGCCCTACACGCAGATCAGAGATCCGGGTGAAGAGCAATCTACCTTGTAGGATCAAAGCTGATGCATCAGCCCGAAGAGATGGTCATAGCTGTGTGGTGGCAAAGGGATCAAGAGGGGACTTTTTAAAAAAAGGTAGCATTAAGTTAAACTGTATTACTCGTTCTTTCACCTGTGCAATCCCTTGAGGCTTTGTACTATCAGAGCGACAGTAAGGTGGTTTGTGTTTCATTGCTCTCTGGCTTCAGAGCTCATTCTCTGGCATACGGGATCCCCCCATGGGATCCCCCCACTTTAGTGCAGCGTTTAAGTGCTGACAACCTGAAATTTCTTGTAATTGATATTTAGAGGATTTCTGAATTGCAGGTTTCTCTGAACATCCTCTATTTAGGATCTGATCTTTGCTGGGTGTCATTCAGTCTGTGCAAGCGGGACTCCTATCAGGACTAGTTAAACCCTTGACTAGCAAACTTTTGGAAGCATGCCTTCAAAATGCTGGGCTTTGGGAAATTTGACCTTCCCGTGTTCCAGCGGCTTTATCAGGACTGGTTAAACCCTTGACTAGCAAACTGGTTTTCTTTTGGAAGCATGCCTTCAAAATGCTGGGCTTTGGGAAATTTGACCTTCCCGTGTTCCAGCGGCTTTCTGGAAAGAGAGAGAAACCTTCTAGATAAAGTACATTGTGAGACTGATGCACACAACATTAGCAAACTGAGGCACAGGGAGAAATGAAAGAGCTACTGAACTGAAGTATCTTTCTGGCGTACTAGTTGTGTACGTTATTTGTGTATTTCCTGATTGAAACGCTACCTGCAAAGTCCTGTTTTCCCTCCTGCCTCCCCATACAGCGATGTTCTCCTGTGCTATTAGCAGTCTAAAACAGCCACTCGTCCCATTTGCCAGAAGGAAGGGTGTGATCTATCGCCTCCAGGGCTCAGCTGGTCAAATGGTCTGGATCAACTTGTACCTGTCAGATTCTTCCCAGGAAGATACGAGAAACAAATTGAAGAGAAATAGCAGTGGTTGCGCCTCTGCCCGCACCGGAGTCAGCCAGGCCCATCTTTCCAACCCTTCCCTTCCCAGGCGGCCTTTGCCCCTAGGGTTTGGTGTGGATGTGGCAGCCTCCCTTCTCGATGGTTTGCACCGGGTGGATCGGTAGGACCAGGTGGGCGATGCGGCTCCACAGCCCACTCAGTTTGTCAGAGTCCATGTGGTCGTAGGAGCTGGGGGTCCTGGTGCTGGTGAACTTGGCCCAGAGGAAGTCACGGACCCTTTCTTCCACCTGCCGGAGGCTGATGTGGGTCTCCAGCGTCTCGTCCTCCAGCAGCACGGTCAGCAGCAGGGCCACGTCCTTGAAAGCAGCACTTTCGTGGTCACAGTACTTGTAGAAGATGAGAGTGGCCCCCGCCGGCAGCAACTCAAAGCGATGTACCACCGCAGCACGGCTCCCAGCCTGGAAAGCTGAGCTCAGCTCTAATTCCACCTCCAGCTTGGCCTGGTCACTCTGGAGCCTGGATTTATCCATGCCATTGATGTGGACCGTGTTGGCATGCAGGGCAGCCGAGTAGGTGTCGGCCACACGGGCGCTAAGGCATCGCAAGGTCCGCTCGCCCCTGCGGGCGGCCGTGAAGATGATGATGGCCGGCTGTGTGTGGTGGGATGCGTTGAGGTGCTTCCGCAGGAACTTGCGCCCGCGAAGCCACAGGTCGGGACTCTGCCCCGGAAACCTGTCCTGCAGCTGGTTGAACTGGGAAAGGAATGACAAAAAAAAGAGGGCTTGCTGGGACTTGGAGGTCAGGTTGCCGAAGCAGAATACGCAGAAGCAGAGCAATAGGAAGCTGACGATGAAAAGCCCTGTTCAACAGGAGAGAGACCCAAGACGGGGAACAGAAGTCAGTCCCAAGTGACCTGCGGTGATGTGCTGGAAAGTAGCTATGAGGGCTCTTTTTCCCCACTCAGACCTTTTCCCCTACGCTAGGAAAGTGGTTGAGGTTGGCGTGTTCTCTGGGGGGACAGGAATGGTGAAGAGGCTGCTTGCTCCATGGTGTGAGACCCATGCTCCTAGACACCAGACGAGGGGGGCTACAGCTCCAGAGATGGAGGCAAGGCTACACCTTTGTTGTCGCAGCGCAAAATTTCCTGAGGAAATTGCAGCTGGCCGCAAGCTTTCTTCTCTTTTCCCCTCCTCTGTTTTCTTAAAGGTTTGTGGCCTTTCAGAGCATCTACCTCCACATACGGAGGTGTCTGACCCAGCTAAACCGTTATGTTCACTGTCTTCCTCCTAGCTATGCTGGGTAAACAAAGGCTACCACGCTTCTGCCCAGAAAAGGAGGAAAACGAGGTCCAGACACAACTGCTTGTGTCCCTCTCCATGGCAAAGCTGGGTCTCTTTCTACCAGGAGAAAGAGGTGGTGCAGATCAGCATCATGGTTCCTGCTTGGAGCCCCATGACACAGAGGAGGACTGGGAAGGGGGACCATCAGCGTAGGAGCCTCAGACCTCCCACGGCTTGCTGAACAGAATGTGCCTGCTTCTGAGGCTGGAGAGCTGGAGGGAAAGCTGCTACTATAGGCTCAAAGTGAGCCTGCCTTTAAGGAGACAGTTTTTCCCTCAAACCCTCAGAAAAGGCTGTGAAAGGTCCTGAGAGAAAAGAACAATTAAATGTGCTTCATTACTTGTTGTTCCTGGAGGATCAGTGCCTTCTGGTCGATGAGTAACACGCAAGGGAAGCTTCTTTTTCTCACCTTTCAGCAAAAAGGACTTTTTGGCCTTCTCCTGGTCTGTGTTTTGGGTGGTGACATTCTGCAAGCAGGACTGAGCCTCCAGCTTTGGGGCTGTGTGCCCTACAAGTAAGAGAAAGGAATGTGCCACTCACTGTTGAGGGAACAGGTAAACTGAGCTGTAATAAGAAAAGCAACAGAGCTGCCAGGAGCTCCCAGCTGAGGGAGAGAGTTAGAAGTGAATACTGCTTTGGGTTAATACTGCTTTGAGTCTCGGCTTGCTCTGCTTTTGGGGCAGGGGAAGGACAAAGACGATGCAGAGTGCAGTGTGGTTTCATGCCTCTCAAAGCAGGACAGTAGCCAAAGGAGATGGAAAGAGAGAAGCCAGTTAACTTCTCACACCTTCTTTCCTGCTCGACTCTGGAAAACTGACAATAGGCACTAGAGCTTCCACCATACCTTTTTATCTCGTGCCTATGGAAAGTGTAGGCCTGCGCACGGTGGAAGAGGAGCAGCGTGCAGCCACCAGCTCACCTTTGGTCCCATGTCTGCTCCTTAATGTGCCTTCGGATCCACTCTCCTGTGTTTCTTGCTCTATGTGCTCTTCTGGCTCCCGATGTAGGAGAGGGGCACTAGTGCTCTTCTCTTCCAGGAGGTCCTTGGTGGCATCTTCTGTGGCAGTCACATCCGAATGCGTCATTTTACCGTCAGAGCTCAGTGCCTTGCTTCTGGATGAAGCATCTTCCTCTGCTGTGTAGGAGCTTTCACATTGCCTGCTTGTCTCCCAGTCCTCGCCTGTTTCCTGGTGGACAGGGCTGTCTCCTTTGCTGTCCGTTCTATCATGGGCCAGTTTGGCTGTCGGGAATAACATTCGCAGACCTACACTTAGTCTCTTTCAGCACAAGAACCAGCAACCTTTTCTCCTGCTCTGCCTCCTCTAAGCAAAGGCCGAGGTTATCAGCATTTTGGAAACGCTGTACACAGGGATGGGGAGAGACTCACCTTCATCCAAGTCATCTTCTTCCTGGGATCTTTCTGAGACATCATCTCTTGTCTTCCGAGATTCTTCCAGTGACACTTCAGTTTCCTGGGGAACCTCCTCCTCTACTGCGGGGCCAGCTAAATCCAATGGCGTCATCTCTCCCCCATCAGCAGTTGGTGGTTTACACCCCGAAGAGTCTTCCTCTGGCTTGCAGGAGGTCTCAGGCCAGCTGTTTGTCACTTGGTGCTCAAGTGTTTCTTGGGTGGGCTCTTGCTGCACGGGATGCTCTGCTGTGCTCTCCACCTCATCTTGGGCTGACCCAGCTGTTGGGATCAGAGTTCACAAGCTCAGCTAGCCATACAGGAGTCAAGAATACCCAGTGCTTTACCACCACCCCGTAAAACTCCCAGTTCTTGCATTTCAGAAACATCTACCCCCAGTGAGACGGGCAAGAGAATAGGGTGACCAAAAGTGAGAAAACTCACGGGTCGAGATCAAGACAGCTGAATAGGCGAAGGAAAGGTGGGGGGAAATCACAAGCGATGCAAAGGCAATCGCTCACCACCTCCTGCAAGTGGACTGATGCCAGGCCAGTCTCCAAGCAACGGCCACCTTGGAAGCCAACCCCTCTCCCTTTCCTCCTGTACCCCAGTTTTTGTTGCTGAGCACAACGTTATACCATATGCAGTACCCCTTTGCTTGGGTCCCTGCCCAATCTTCTGCCCACCCCAGATTATTTGCTTGGCAGGTGGAGAGGGGGGAAAAGAGAAAGCCTTGATGCTGTGTTATCAGCAATAGCCAAAACACTGCTGTGTATATCAACAAATTATTTTTTTTTTAACCCACAAATCCAAAACACAGCCCTGTACAGGCTGCTCTGAGGAAAGTTAACTCAATCCCAGCCTATGTTGCACGCTGTCCTCTGTGGGGTGGGCAGGCAATTCTCTCATTAAGTGGTAGGATATGTTACCACGTCTTCCTCAGATAGTGGGCTTTCCTAGGTCGGTAAATTAAGGTGATGGATTTGAAGAATTTCTAAGGCTGTTGTTGGGTACTGGCCAGAACAGTTATGCCACCACAATTCAAGCATCTGTCTGAATGTAAATGTGAGCTCTGCTTGTGCTCCTTCTCTGCTCCTGTTCGGGAGCTGCTCTCCCATGGTAACAGATAATTAAAAGCAAACACTGGAGCATAATTCAATAGAGAAATTCTGAGGCTGAACATAAGCATTTGCAACATATTCTGAATCTTACAAAACCAAACAGTGCAGCTCAAATTTCAGGCGCTACTTGTGAAAAATTGCTTATGAATGATCAAGCACTACAATGACAGAAACGATTATGCTAAGATTAGAATAAAGAGTGATAAAAATGGCAAGGAGCTCCCTAGTAATTTGAAAACCGAGAAAAAGCTGCACTTGTCATGTGTCAGAACACGCTGTCCTTTGGAGGATGATTTTTACATTCCTTGTTGCTGATTACTACAGGAACACTTCTGACTGCCTAGGACAGATCCGAGCTGGTTATAGCATCACGGTATCACTCAAATACTCCTATGTAGTAGTCATAACAAGGGACCTGGAGAATGTAAGTACACGGTAGAAACTGAAATATGAGGAACCTGGAGGTATCCCGCTATTCAAGCTGGGCACAAACAGTACTCCTTGCCCTGCCTCCTCCAGAGGTTCTGCACCCATAGGCGGTGGAAAACTGACTTCTTATTTAAGCATCTGTAGATGGGAAGCACTGGAATGCAGGGAAGAAAGCTCTCCCAGTCTGGAGCTCCATTTTTAGCCTCCTTGTGCTGCCATCCTGGACACAGAGTCTAAACCTGTTGCAGATGGGAATCCAAAACTGAAAGTAACTTGTTAATCTTTCACCCTTCAAAAAAAGATAGCAACTTGTTTCTCTTGGCCTGGAAAAGAGGGGATTCTTTTAATTTTTTATTTTTATTTTGCTTAGGTTTCCCATGTCACTGCTGAAATCTTGTCACAAAGGGATTTTCCTTAGTAGATGGAGTAAGCGTAGGATTCACTTACCTCCAGATAGATGCACGCTTGGATTCTCTTCCATTTTCTTTCTCCCCTGGAGCTCTGGCTTCTGCACCGCTCTGTTTCACTTTCTCCTTTGGTCATAAGGAGACATATCTCCCCGCTGTTCCGGTGGCTGACCAAGTCCTACCCCACTCACAGACACCATCCCATCTTGGTCGTGGGAGTTGTAAGTAAACGCTCATAAACCTGATAAGCAAAAACACAGGAGCAGTGATTCATGGTGGAGAAGGAGGTTCCCCCGCCCACGATTACCAAAGTGCTGTGAAAATGGACGGATGCCACTGATAACTGCCAACCCAACGGCTATTAGCTATTTTGCTTCCCGGCAGGCTACAAGCAGTCCAAGGGCTAACGCAAACCACGGTTGTCTTGGGACAAACCAGTGGGGTAAGGCACTGGTTTCTCATCCGGATGGGATCAGCTGTGCTCCGAGTC